TAGTGACCCACGCCGTGTACGTGGCGGTCTTCTGTCCTCGCTGCTGGTTATTTATTATTATAACTGATTATTAAAGTATGAGACGTCTAAACAGAATTTAAATATCTTACCTGTTTTGTCGTCCCAGGAGCGGCAGATATGGACACAACCTCACCTGTGCTGATCAATAATGGATGTTTTGTGTGTGTGTGTGTGTGTTAATGAGTAACCAGTCCAGCTGACCTGCTTTCCCTCGCTCTCTTTTATTAGGTTGTAAAACTGAAGAGCATCCGTGCAGTTTAGATTTAAAGAGACATCTTATAAGAGAAGTGAGATGAATGTGTGTATGGAGGCTGAAAACAAAAGGGAAAAGTATAAAAAAAACATTTTTTAATTGAACTTTAATTACTTGTAGATACTGTTTCTCATAATTCTGAGATATCTGATAATGGTGAAAAATAAATACATAGGTTTAAGGCTGTCAGTAAGAAAGATAATCCTTTGATTCTTAAATATTTCATATTTTATCTGTGTTAAAGGAGCTCTGTCCCCTAATGTTTAAAATGGGTACTGCAGTCTAAATTCTAAACATCATAGAGAGCTGTTCCCCCCCCCCTCCTCTCTAGAGTCGATTCTCACACAGGTCACCATGTGGTGGACTCTGAAGCTTCAGTGTTTATCCAGCTCTGCATGGGTCTGTAAACCTTTCTAACCTCTCTCCATTTTTCAAAAGCATCTCCAATATTGATCCTAGTTTGAGCACGTTTCTGCTCGTGGAGCTTATTAGAAACATGCAGAGGCTTTTTAGGTCGGGTACAATCACTTCTATCTGAACCACTTCTCTTGCCCGCTTCCATTACTGCAACACCTGTTGACCTGATAACTGCTCTCATATCTGACAAACTGAGGGGCGTCCAAAACAGCCGTGTGGGGGGGGGGGGTCTTAAAAGCACCTACCTTCTCTGGTCCAAACAAATCCAGATCATTCAGGACCAGAATCTAAATTTAGAAGGAGGACATACTGGCTGCTGCATTGTTGTCAGAGAAGCCAGCACTTCAACATAGCATGTTTCCTTAATGATCAGAGAGTAAGATACCTTTATCATCTCACTGATTGGTCCTTTATCCTCAATATTTTCAAATCTTTTCATAAAATTAAAATATTGTACATATTTATTGTAAACAACTTAAATCTATATACCATTCCTCCCTGTAAAGAACATCTGATAATTCACTATCAAAGCTAAAAGCAAATTTAATTGTAATCTCCTCTGTGACTGTCCACCTCCCCTATGGACTGAGAAAAAAAACAAAAACAAGAAAAAAATGTGTAACCAGTGTTAGTTCAAGAGTCATATGTAGCTGCAGTTGTTAGCAAACACAATAAACAAACATCACTTGAGGCCTGTAAATACTTGTAATGACAGTGTTTGCTGATGTTTATAATCAGGTTTGGACATTTTTTAATTTCCCAAAAAACCTTCAGAGAATAACTTTAATGTTGACGAGAAAGAAGAGAGAATGTGTGTTCTCTCTTTCGTGGTTCGTAGCTGCTGGGCATCACTGTCCTTAGTTTGGGCATGGTTATTATAAAGATAACACACACACACACACACACACACACACACACACACACACACACACACACACACTCACACACACACACACTCACACTCACACTCACACTCACACACACACACACACACACACACACACACACACACACACTTCTTTTACATGCTCATTTCACTCTTCTATCCGTGTTCCCCAGCTTCCCGGTAACCACGTGTTGCGTATCCGTCACTACGTTATCGTCACTTTGCCATCAGTGATTCCCCGTTTCCTTGATGTCACAGTTTTTCCTTGTCGTTCTGATGATAATGTCATTTAAATGTTCAAGTTGGACAGCTTTCCACTCTCACCTTTGATTCCTAAAAGCCAAAGAATCATTTTATCAAATGTCCTCATAAGTATGGTATGGCCGGTGAAGAGGTCCTCGTTATGCTGCTTTATGTGTATGAGTGTGTGTGCAGTCTTTCATTAATAACAACGTCTTCATATCATCTTATCTTCTTATCTGTGTGGTTTCAGGATAAACTGAGAGCAGATGATGATGTTTCTCTCTGCAGCAGCCTGAGGCTCACATACTTTTCACTAAAACTTTATTGCACACGGGGAATACTGACAGAGTTGCTTCACATTGACAATGTGTGTTGACAGCATGTGTGTGCATCCAGGTGTTATCGTCAACATCCAGGTAGATCCAGGTACACTGAATAAATATTAAAATATGAATATGCAGGGTTTATTTCTGCCTCTGAAAATGGTATTTTATCACTACAACATGATATTCTCATATTTAATAGAGCAATCAGAATATATGTTCTTCTGTATGCAGTGGCGTCCTGAATTATTTATTTTTACTGTCTTGTAGACTAAATGAATATTAAGAAATAAAGAACGCAGAGTGTGTGTGAGATGATGCAGCCTTCAGCTTTTAATGACTTTAAGTATGTGATGTTGATTTTGAAATGGAGACCTTTTGAACTCTAACGTAAGACAATCTGAGGGTTTTTAATGCGTCATATCTGTAAAAATCAATCAGCGAACATACTGTCCCCTGTTTAATTCAACCGTCTGTTTTTCATTACAGGATGAAGACAGACATCACCTGCTATCCTTCTGTCGTTTAAATAGGCAAACAGTTGGAAGATCTTGGGCTGAGCTTTAACTCTGTGGTCATAAATAACTTTTATCTGCACAGATGGAATCACTTCCCTGTGTCTCTACAGGCCTGTGGGAACATCTTTTCCTCTTTGGTAATCTTATCTCAGCCCACCAGCACGGGGAATAACATTCACTGCCTGGTTTTCAGATATATGTGGTCCAAACTCATGAACGTCTCTCTCAGATACTTAATGAACTTCAACAGTTTATGAAACATGGAAGCTAGTGTAGGATGGAATCGTTATCTTTCACGGCTCGCTAACATTGTAAATGATCGGTAAGGTCTATGTCGCCAGTTAGAACTGCAAAAGAATGTAGGCAAATTTACATCCTTAAATTTAGAATGCGTTAGACAGAGGAAGAATAATTACAATAGGTGCATAATGGTATCAGGAAGTTAAAAGCGGTATGCTAGCTGATTAATCCAGCTGAAATGATACAGCTGTGGATAAGCTAGTCCATTGTGAATGCACCTGAATCATTAGTATTTAGTTATGTAAACCCCAAACCCACACACTTAAAACATGATTACCTTAGAAACAAAAGAGCAACAAATATATCTTTAAGATTACAACTCATTTTAATCATGACACAGATTATTCACACACAGTACATTATTATGTAAAGTGGCAGGAATAAAACCCAAATTAATTGCCAGAGTTACACTTAAAAACACGGGCAAATAATTACACGAGCATTCATCCAAAATATACAGCTTTAGAAAAATAACTCTTCTCACAATAACAACAGTGCAATCAAACAAACGTCCAGACAAACCTCAGGCCTCTAACTTGGGTGGGGACAGTTTCGGCTAACGAGGCTACATTTCACACTAACGGGACGTGAAAATGGATGTGACTGAGTATCTACTGACCCTAAAGAGGGGCCTACATTTGAAACAACTGTTTATAGAAAATAAATAAATCCTCTTCAAAGTTCTCTTTTGGTATGTTTGTTTAAAAGCCTTTGGGTTCTGCTAACGTGACTTTGGCTAATCTTAGGAAGTCCTTTAAAGGTTATTAGTTAAAGAAGAATTGCCTCTCTCACCTGTAAACCTGAAACCATTTTTAAGTTACAAAACTTTCAATCCATATGTTTGGTTTGCAAAAATAAAACTTTAAATAGAATATTGCACTTTTCTTTAAATTTTAAGCTAACGTGATTCTTCATTTGACAAATAAATAAACTGTGGCCCACTGAGAATCCTTCTACTGTCACTTTATTCTGAGCGAATGGGGTACCCTGATGATGTTACTACATTTATTTTAGGGAAAAAAACATCATATCAAATATAAAGTTTTTTATTTCAAGAATTTGGGCTGTAAAAGCCTCCGTTTTAGGCTGACGTGAGTTTGGCTAATGTTAGCAGGTCTTTAAATGGTTGATAGCCTAAGAACTGTCACTCTAACATCTAAAGCTTAAAGCATTTCCCCCATCAGTTACATCATTTTTAATCCAAACTTTAGTTTTCCTGAAATCCAACTGGATAAAGAATTTACATGTACAAGTTAAATTTAAGCTAACGCAATTCTGAGGCTAGCTAACAGTGCTATTTCGTGCCTTTTTATAATGATGTTGGCTTGAAATTGAGCTCTTTACTCAATCTCCATCTGTGCTATATCAATGGATGTCTGTTTTGTGAGCATGTACAGCCATCATTGCACTTCAGGACGTTAAAATATCGGATTAAACTGAGCGAGATTGAGCCCCTAAATTAGAAATCACTTGATGGAAATCATTGAAACCATCTCCACCTCTTCACTCTGTGAGCAGGTTTTGTTTGATACCTCTTCACTCTGTGAGCAGGTTTTGTTTGATACCTCTTCACTCTGTGAGCAGGTTTTGTTTGATACCTCTTCACTCTATGTGAGCAGGTTTTGTTTGACATTTAGGGGGATTTCTAAAGTGTGTTTTTTGAACTAACAACCCATGAATGAATCTCTTGAGGCCATTGTAACAGTCATGAATCAGGTTTTCAATATTAATGCTGTTTGTGTAAGTGGAGTCAAACCGGATTTCAAAGTGGTTTCTGCCCGTCTAGACGCAGAGGAGGAAACCAGATCTGAACCACAAAGAGTTTCACATCCCGCTGAGTTTGTGTGTGAATGCAGCCTGACAGGAAGTTCATTAGCATTGAGATAGTGGGAGAGTTTGGAGGAGGAGGTTTATCCACCCCTCCCTCCGTTCATCCCGGCTTTCTTCTTCTTTGGTTTCTGCCTCTCGTTACCTGCAGGTCGGTCATAGGCAGAGAGAGGGGATGCTTCTTTCTTCCCGTCCCATTTGTCCGTCCTTCGTTAGTTTTTCTGGCACACGTGAAGTCTCGTCTTCGACACTTCTGACGACGACTTTGAAGCCAGCAGAGAAGTGTGGGGGGAGGAGTGGCGGGACGAGGCTGAAAATTTGGATTTTGCTGCAGCGAGGAGTGATGAAGATGCAGACGGCGCTGAAGGCTGGACGCCGGGCTCTCGCAGGGTTCGGCAGCTGAGTCCGTCCCCGCAGGAGCAGCGCTGGAAGAGCTCCAGGCCGTGGTTCCCCTTGCGGCGGTGTCGCGTGCAAACCTGTCCCTCCCGCAACACCGGCTTGCAGATGCGAGTCCAGAAGTGACGGGCGCAGCACAAACCGTCCGAACAGTCTGAGGTGCGGAGACAGGGATCCCCAACCTGACCTGAAACAGAAGCAGACGGTTAATGAGTTATCGTGTTGGGAACAATTCAATAATTCAAATGTAATTCTTTCAGAAACTAAAAATGTTTACCTCGACTTGAGGTCCCTTTTACGTCCATCCTCCCTCTTTTCCTAAACCCTTTCTTCTTAGAGAGCGAACCAATCCCTCCGTCAGAGTCCGGGATCCTCTGAGACACAAAACTCTCGACGTCGGGAACACAGATATCTGCAGACAGAAAGAGAGAAACAGGAATGAGTATTTGAAAAGGAAACAATAAAGTTATTATGAACTTAACCAAAAAAAGTTTGTATACCACTTATCCAAACAAAATGGAAATAAAGATTTGACTAATAAAATGTGTTCAGAGCTAAAAACTAAAAAGTATTTCGCTTATCCAAAAAGGTTAGGACTCACTATACCAAGTTTAAAGGTCCAATCAGTGAGATGTGTAGTGAGTGAAATGATAAAGTGACCTTACTATATGATCAGACATTAAGGAAACATGCTCGACCTAAAAAGCCTCTGCATGTTTCTAATAAGCTCCACGAGCAGAAACGTGCTCAAACTAGGATCAATATTGGAGATGCTTTTGAAAAATGGAGAGAGGTTAGAACACAGAAAGGTTTACAGACCCATGCAGAGCTGGATAAACACTGAAGCTTCAGAGTCCACCACATGGTGATCAAATGTTACACAGCAGCATAAAAACTATTGAAGGCTAAATAGATAATCTTACTGTTGCTGCAGTGGTTGCCTGGGCAACACATGCCATCCCTATCGCAACGCCTCTTCCTCCTGCGGCAGTTCTGACAGCGAGAATGGGCGGGGCCTTTGGTGGGGGCGTGGCAGTAGCTTCCTTCTCTGCACTCCAGGTCACTCATGCACTGATAGAGCTGCAGAAAACAGACAAAGAGAACGACGATGTCACAAAACGAACACACACCGCCAGAAACTCAGAAGGCGTGGCGTTGGAGATGCACACTCACCGTAAGGTCGAGGCTGGGCTCCCACGTGCTCCGGTTCAGCGGCAGAGCGTGCCCCTCCTTCAGAATCACCGTCCTGATTGAGTTCAGTTTGACGCGCGCCTCCGAGCCGAGGGCACGTGCTGACAGGACGAGCGTGAGAAACATCATCAGCACCACGTGGCGAGCCAT